TCACAACCAGATCAAAGACACCATCATTCTCAGCTCTCCATGCTAGCTCCTTCACCAATGCAGTCTTACCTACACCAGCCATTCCATACAAACCAATGATATGAACATCAGAATCCTCTTTCAACACATTCATAATCTCATTCAACATTCCCGTTCTCGAATCCAAATCCACATAACCTCTAGCACTAGAACTGAAATTGCATTTCAAAGCACAACGATATGAAATCCGATCAAACGTTTCGTTCTTTATCTCAGAAATCAGATCCACTAGGGCTTTTGCTCTCTGACTGTTGGTATACCTAGAGTACACATCTAAGCATCCAACTCTCTCTTTATCTTGGGCGTGAAGAAAGTGTTGCGCCTCTTGTATGGCTGCTTGGCCTCTAAGAAACCAGTCGTGGACGGTGTCTTCGATCTCCTCGCCGTTCCGTTTGGCAGCTTCGACGCTGTGCCGCATTTCTTTCTCCTCCCTCTGCAGCTTCTGAATCTGAGTCTCGAGATTGATGAGGTTTTGATTGTACATTAATACATAAGTGAATTCTCGAATGACCGGTAAAGTCACGTTTGAAGCTATGCTAGTAATTATATTCATCTTGATTGATCTGCAAACAACTCAACCAAGGGTTTGAACTATTATGTGAAGGGAATGAATCATCGACTCACCTACACGATGTGTCTAACACCCTTGGAGAGAAAGTTATATAAATTGTGTGGAAAACTAATTATTTGAATTCTCAATACTATTAATAATTTGCATTCATTTTCAACTATTCAAAAAATGTAAAAAATGTAGAATTATTTAAAGTATATTTACAACCATGTATTTTAAGTTAGAATTGGAGATAGCTAATTACAAAGAAGGTAATTTATTTGTTCAAGAATATTATTCTAGTTTTTTGAATATGTGGATAGAATATTTTGTTTTTATATATGTTGATGTTTCTAAGAATTTTCTCACGGCTATTCAAAAGGTCTACATCACAAATAGTCGAGATTAATTTTTCATGAAGCTTTGCCCTTAACTTAAAGTCGTTAGAGGCGTTTTGCTAGTAGGAATCTCGTTCCTTCTTTAAATACATGTGTCAGAGAACTTCTCAGGGAGAAACAACGTCATTACTCAAAGAGTCATGTCTAATGAAGTTGTCATTTCTGAGTCTGTGACAGTTGCATATACCTCTCAAAGTAGAGGTAAAGGTCGTGATATGAGACGAGTTTAGTGTTTCTCTTACAAATAATTTGGACATATTGCCCGTAGTTGAAAAAAGAAGTTTTGTAATTACTACTAGCAATAAGGTCATATTATCTCTGAGTGTCTCACGCGTCCTCCACGACCAACACAATGTTCGATGCAGGCACTTCATGCAACTACAAATTTTGTAACTGGCCCTTCCATTAGTGGTGCCTCAAACGGTGGTGTTATACAAGCTGAACTGATTCAACAAATGATACTTTTTGCTCTTTCGGCCTTGGAATTTCATGGTAATTCTTTTAATGTTTCTCGCCCATGGTATCTTGATTTGAATGCATCCAATCACATGACTGATTCCTCAAAATATTTGAATTGAAACTATGAGTGTTGTTCATCGGTTTGCATGTGATATAAGCGGAGGAGTTTCTCATTACACCGAAAGAGCGAAAAAGTACCATTTGAGATCAGGTATCGAATCAAGTGGCGGATCAGCGTCAGAAAGGGGGTGGGAACATGTTGTTTATGTTTTTTAACATATATTTATCCTGATTTATAATGATATATGGATTGAGGCACAAAAGAAAAGCCGAGAAGAATAGTAATATCATCCATGGCAAGAGTGATTATCAAAAAATGTCACATTTCTATAAATGCGAAAATGGTGTTTAGAGACATCATAACACACAAAACTCATAAGAGAATGACTATGCCCCATAAATACACATTAAACAGATTATGCTCCAAGCTTATGTATTTCGGCACAAATTGATGAGAAACCCTTATTTTATTAAAATTTTAGTCTGAAGATGCATCTTCATATCAATTTGTAATGTTCAGAGATGCATCTCTGAAATATATCATGTTAGTTCAACCTAGAAAAAAACAGGAACAACGGTAGAATAATGGAAAAACCACATAGATTAACATCAAAATAAACATTACATATATAATTGTTAATATTGACATAAATTTAGCATTAGATTTCATTACAAATAGGTGGTTCATGACATTGCAACATCCTTATAGTATATTTGGTAGATCGTGCAATCGTAGCAACCACTTTAATCGACAAATCTCTCGTTAGTGATTTTGGGTTTAACGGATTGAAAGGAAAGGTAAAAGGTATCAACAGAAAATAAATGTATAAAAAGGAAAGACAAACTTATCCAGCTCGAATGTACTCTATTCATCACAAACTTAAACTTATCGACCAATTATACTCGACCTATAATACTCGTCAATGTCAACACGTATCAATCACAACCTAAGTCATTTCTAACCCAAATTGAGAGGTTGACTATATCACCTCAATAGCGACCTCTCAACCACCTCAACAACACAGAAGTCAATTGTGCTAATCGCGTCGACGATCTCTCAGAGTGACACAACCAACATAGAGACATTAATCGGAGACACCCAAGTGAATGTCACCTCTAAATTTATCTATAGAATCCAGAAACTAACATATAATCATTCTAGATAAGAATCCAAGAAGTATATGTCTATAGCAACTCAAATCCCTAACACATAGTAAAATTCCAGGACAATAATCAACAAAGATTTGTAAAGAAAGTTTTATACAACGTCATGGGCGACAAAAATATATATATATATATATATATATATATATATATATATATATATATATATATATATATATATATATATATATATATATATATATATATGAGTTCAAAGTAAAAATACACACAAAACCCAACAAAAGAGAAATACATAGAGAGGAGAAGAGATAAACTACAAATCTTATGGTTTGTCAATGTCAGTCGATGAGAAATTCACCTTCAATCATTCATAAGCAAAGCCCTAGTGTTGTTTTCTAAGCTAATCTATCCAAAATTAGGTTGATAGAATTTGGGAACAAAAACACCCCAAAAACCATACCTAAAATGTAATGAAAATGAAATTATAAAACAAAGACCGCGCTTAGCGGGCTCACCGCGCTAAGAGGGTTGCGCGTTATTTACACATTAAACCGCCTAAACTGCGCTAAGCGCGCTCAGGAAATATGCTTCTGTCAAATTTGTCAAAATGCGCGTAGCATGCTGAGGATGCGCTTAGCGGTCCCCTGAGCAGAACTTCTCAAAACTGGGTCTTTTATTCAAAAAATGTGCATATGGAGTTGTGCCTTCGACACCTTATTCCTCAATGCTCCAAAATGCAACAAATACCTACAAAAGAAGTAAAATATATCAAAAGTTACACAAATGAATCAAAAACACAAATATATACAAACTAAACGTATTTACACAAAAGTTGGGTTTATTCAAACGATATTAATAACAAAGAGTCGATAAGTGCAACAAAAAATATATACAAAAATAACTACAATTTGCATTTATCAAACTCTCCCCAACTAGAACTTGTTTTTCCTCAAACAAGGTCAAACAACTCAAAGAACCAAAAATAATCAACCAAAGAATCATGAATCAATAAGTTTGAAAAACGAAAATAAATATATGATTCAAACAAAAATACACACACAAGATAAATACTTACAACAATCCTACAACGACATAGTGTGAAGTAAACACTCAGCACAACTTTCATTATTTTTGTTTCTGAATATTTGTATATATGACTGCCAAAATTTTATACAATAATTATCATTGTTATTTAATTAATAATATTCTAATGATAAAGTTTAGTGCTTCAAACAAACAATATTTTACATGTGGCCATTCTAAAAAATCACAGTTTTAATACTGAGCTACAAACAAATATAAACAATAAACAGAAGTTTGACTATAAATGTAGTAGTAACGGAAGTGTTCTTCCAGTGTATGAAAGCATTATATTGAATCTACTATACATCACATGTAATATAATACTTTATTTCCATTAGTGTTTAATGAAAGATTACAATAATGTCATATAATTTATCTTCTCGCTTTGTTTTGTACCAAAATATCATAACAACTGAACTGCTGCTATAACGCGTATTTTTTCTGGTAATTTTTTCGTAACAACAGACACAATTATTATGACACCAGAAACTGGAGCTGTGATTGGGATCTCAATATGCCTACATAAATCTCAACAACCGCGATTTCAATTTCAACACCGACGTGGTTCGCAATAGCGAATGCCTTGTTCAAACTTGACTTGGAGCAAATGATGATGATAGTTCTACCACCAAAGCTTCTGATAACTCTCACCAAAAAATCACGTTTGCAATTGAAGTTTCCAAAAATCTGAAATATGTCTGACATTCATTATGAAAGAGACTTGACATTAAACATTCCACTATGCAAATAGCAAAAAGAAAAAGAAAAAAAAACAATAATGCAGAAATTTTCTATATGTGTCTCATTTATACAGGACCGCACGATTCACTATATTAGAAACCACACAATCAACAATCAAGATTTGCTCGCGGATTGTTTAAGGTAATAAGTATCATAAGAGAAGAAATTTTTATTGTTTGCTACAAACTTTCTAAAAAATATATCTTATTCCTAAAACCCCTTAACTATTTTTTCTTCCATTTCATATGTTTATCTCTCTACGACACATAATTAAGAGTATTTTTTATAAAATCAATTAAATTTTCAAAACGACAAATAAATAGAGGTAAAATCAAAATTCCACTAAAGTGACAATCAAGTGGTGTAACTATATTCTTTACAACACAACCAACATACTGAAATAATGTCAATTCTTGTTTATTTATTCAATTGATCTTTCTATGGAAAAGAAGAACAAGACTAATACAACAAATGCAAATTTTGAAAAAAAGAACCAAACACTTTTTGTACATACAACCAAAACTTGCAAACACTTAGTCAGGTGATTACATGCAATTCTTTAATTGATCACCAGCTCCTTGGAAGAAACAACAAGAAAGAGCAAAATCAGCAATGAAAATACCAACAAGAGAAATAACAACAGCTGAAGTTGTTGATTCTCCAACACCTTTAGCACCTCCCATTGTTGTAATTCCCCAAGCACAGCTCACTATAGATATGATAGCACCAAAAGCTCCCGACTTTATCATCGCACTAATGATGTCCCATGCTCGAAGAGATCGCTGAGCCGAATCCAATATAATGTTGATGCTGATTCCGTAAACACCATCCGCAAGAAGAGCACTAGATGCTAACCCTAATGTAAAACATAATAAGGTCAAAAGAGGTAAGGCAATACAAGAAGCAATCACTCTTGGTGTCACTAGATAATCAACAGGGTCTGAACCGAGAACTCTTAACGTGTCAATTTGTTCGGAAACCTGCATGGTTCCTAATTCCGCTGCAAAAGCACTTCCGATGCGTCCGGCTACGACTATTGCTGTAACAACTGGACTTAGCTCCCTAGAGAAAGCAAGAGCTAAAACACCACCTATGGATCTGTTCAATCCTAACCTAGTGAACTCTCTCACGAATTGTATTGTGAATGCCATGCCAACAAAAGCTGAGGTTAAAAGACATACTCCAACGGATTTCGGACCGACTCTCTCCAGTTGTTGAAGAGTATTTCTCCAATGAACCTTTCCCTTTAAAATCTTCATAACTACTTGTCCTGCAAGAATTAAAACTGATAATCCTCTCCATAGGTACCTTGGCGGTGACCAATTGCCGAGAAATATTGGTGATATAACATTAGGAGCATGATTTGTGTTTGTTTCATCATCCATTGTAGAAGCAGTTGGGTGGCCATCACTTGTGTTAGGGAGCACAAACAATCTGTTTGGTTTAATGTTGAAGGGAGAGTCATAATTACGAGGCCTCCAATTGAATTCACATTTCGAATCCAGTTGAGAGGGATAAGGTGCACGAATTTTCACCGAACTACTCTTTGCATTGGTACTTAAGTTTCTGCAATATTGTAACAGACGATTAAATATTGCTATAGGAAAATAGAAGTTATAAAACGATCGGGAAAAAAGGGAGTACGAACCTGCAAGAGAAGCAGAATACAGGATGGCTATAAAATGCTGTTTGCATGGTTAGATCCTTGACTGACAATATCAAAGCTCTTCAATCTGTATATCACAATTTCAAAATCTTGATAAACATATCGGTGTTGTTAAATAGTGGGTAAGCAAAAAGGAATCTAAACAGATTGCTATTGTCATGCGGTACGCTATTTGGTACAAAATGTTGTCATCAAATAGCAGCTGTTGCATAGCGGAATTTTAACAAACATTTTCCGTGATTTGCGACTATATAATACTGAAACAAATCAGATAAGAGTAAATAAACATAGTAGAAAATAAAAAGGCTGTAGTAAGACTACAATATGGCTCCCATCCCATATTTAAATGAAAATAATGGGAAAAACTTTTGATTTTGCAAACAGGTCTAAAATGAGATATGGTTTGGGAGTTTGATTATGCTTATGGGTGAAAACTGACTGTTTAAATTATTCAATAATAACATTAAGAGAATTACCTTAAAGCTAATTGTGTAAATTATTTAACAGCCTTGGCAATGCTAATTTTACAGCTCAAAGGGTTAAGTAGAGACTAATTAGTAATCATAAAGGTAAACCACTAATTAATAGGAATAATATGTAGTCTATGTCATCTATCTCAAATCTTAATAGCTACATGACTATCACAACTTTTCAAATCCCAATAATACAAATACAAATACAATTAACCCCTATTCAATCAAGAAAACACAAACTGAATTTAAAACAAGCAAATAAGTTTAATTTAGAATACAAAAAATTCTTGAAGTTTTTTAAAAACCTGTGTGGGATGTTCAAGCTTTGATCTTACGAAAGAGGATTCTTTCCTTCCCCGCCTTTCTCCAAAAGCTATAAAAAGGAGTGAATAAAGTATATCACAGGTTAGTTAGATATGAGACCAGGTTGAGAGAAAGTTATATAAAATAATATACAATGACACAAATGTTATGCTTCTTTGCCACATTAAGATATAAAACTGCACAGAAACTTTTTTGACGGATAAAGAAAAACATGAGCAGAGTATATGATTACATATCCTTGCGACCATGAGCAGAGATGATGCTCTACATCAATATCATAACATTCACTTCAGTCTGGTTAATCTAAAGATATAAAACAGGTGATACAACAGAGACATCATGATTATACAAAATTAATTAATAAGAAGAATAAATATGTAACTCAATAGGCTTATTTCAGTAACCAACTAATCATGCGCTTTGGAGAAAATAAAACCTACAGTAGAATACAAAATTATTTACTCATCAAGTAATGACAACAATTTCTAGACAATCCTAGCAGCCCGTCAATTTTTCTTATTCCAGCACAAAAGGAGACTATAAAAATTCAGTAAGAAATGAAAATTGTATGTAACAGAAGCAATCATGCATACAAGACAGTACAGGCATTCTATGGCTATAAAAAGTATTATCTAACTCAAGCACAATACGCGCATATTAGTTACACTGCTAAGGATGAAACAAAGAGTAGTAGAATACTTGCTGGAGAAAAGGCATGTGACTCGTGTCATAACCATTTTTTCTCTTTGTAATATGATTTGCAATAACTTTTGTGTTACTGTCAGAATTTTTGTAAAGCAACTCGGTTGAATAATAAAAACAAACAAAAAACAGGTAAAAGAATGGCAAATTCACTATATTAGTGTGTGAATGACAGATGGTAGGTATATTTTAGCAAACAGAGGATATCCTGAATAGGTTTGGCTGATATTTAATCAAACAACAAATAAAAATGACTTTCCTAGCTAGTAGTAATGACAGACAAACAGTCTAGTTCCCAATCCATTGGAAGATGCTATGCATCTTTCGACTCAACCTTCTACACTCTACTCATCAAATTCCAGATTCTCTGCCAACAAATTTTGCTATTGTTGGAATCAAAGTCAATTGGTCTCGATCTTTTAGCTGATTTCAAAGTTCACGGAGAACAAGTTGACTACAGAGATAGAGTGTTTGGGTTTTTCAGAATTCAGTGTTCATTAGTAAAACATAGACAAAACGCAAACCGAATTCAACTTCTTGTTTGTTCTATCGAATATCGAGTCTATATGGTAACAATAGTGCAATCCCTTGTTTATAAGAACGCTAGGCACTTACAATAATCCAGATCATTCATAACAAACCATTAACATGAAAAAGTTATTTACAAGTGATAAGAATTGTGTAAACTGCAGTCAGTCTAGCATATGATAGACAGAAGTTCAAATGCTTTAAATCGCCCGAATCCGGACAAAACTATTCACAATTCACCATGTCGAACCAATTTTTAAAAACATTGATTGAATCAGAACGGTTATTCGGATGTGAATCCATTCCAGCATATGATGTAGATTTTCATGTGAGACTATATACCAGAAATATATACAAAATGTGCAATTCTACAAATAAAAACTAAAGAAGCAATGCATAGTAAAATTGATTCACAAAATTTACGAGAAACGTGTAACAATCTATGGTGGCCACAAATCGCAGTGAGGAATGAAAATCTGAAAAGTAAAATAAGCAAGATATAGAAGGAAAACCTTCTGGCGGAGTTTCTGGCTGTTACGGCGGTCAACGAGGTACTCCGGCGGATTTTTCCGGCGAGGTTTTCGTTTGTACGGTGGATTGAGTTGAGTGTTATTTCAGTCCAAACCAATTTGTTTCTTTCTGATTCAACAAAAGAGCAAAGGGGGGTTTTGTTGTTTTTTGAAGGAGGTGCTGCGTTTTGATTGGTTGTTTTAGAGTTTTAATTAAGAGTTTGATTATTACATTATTTTGTTGAAAAATTAAGGATTTTATGTATATTTTTTTATGAATCATTTGAGAGTTTTTTTTTAGCAACAATCAATTATTAAAAAATATATAAATAATTATGTTTTGAAAAAAATTACGCAAGTAACTATGTTTCAAAAAATCTCATAATGGAGACGTCAAGTGAGATGGCACATGCACTTTAATTTTAGAAGGAGACGTCAAGTGGGATGACGCATAGGTGTAACATGTTTGTCCTAAGTCATCTCAGATAGTGTCTAAGTGCATTTAAGAGGCAATTATTTTGCTTTCTATTTTAAATACGAGACAATAAGTAAACGATATAGCTTCATGAAACTTCAACTTTTCATTAACAAATGAACGATTACATAATGAAAAAAACTATGCATATTATTTAGTTGTCCCCCAGAACTCAGTAACGACCTGTGGTTCTGCATCCGCATCCTCGCCTATCTCGTGGTGGATTTCGTTGATTTTCCTGTTGCGGTTGGGTCAATGGCCCAGCGAAGTCAATGCATTCAGGATCCATAAAATCGGTCAGATCAACATATCTGGAAGATCTGCTTTGGTACAGTCGGTTACCCATGCCCTCAAAGTTTAGTCGTCTTGGTGGGGGTGGGGTTCCATGGATGGTCTATAGCACTGGTCGTTTGAGTAAGGGGGTAAAATAGAAATGCATATTGGGGTGTTTGGTATTGCGACTGTTGGGTGATATGGTGATGTGGTGGTTAATGATAAGTTGGGTCGGTTGGGTCATACTCTTCAGGAAAGTCTAGATCTGGACTAAGGTGAGATGATGAAGGGCCCACATCGGGATGTGGAGAAGACTAGAATTGTGTGTGCATGTGGGTGTATTGGTATTGCGATTGAGATCGGAGTTGGGCGTGGGGCATATGGGTGTATTGGTATTGAGGTGGTGATTGTGATTGAGTGTGGGGCATATGGGTGTATTGGTTTTGAGGTGGTGATTATGGTTGGGTGTTTGTGAATCTGTATCGTTGTAGTGTTTTGTGGAAAGTTGATGTGTGTTGGGTTTGTTGTTTGGGATTTAAGGTTTGTGTCCATTGTGTTTGTGGGTCGGCCAAATACCTCGGATGAGACACGTGCATTTCTGGGTTACTAACCGATTTGTATCAATCAAAATATTGATTTGTGTGTCGCATATTATTCTAGTTGAGGAATACAGGGAAGTGCAAGACATATTAGTGACGCATATGCCATATCTTACACCATTCTGGAGCAAAATCTTTCCAATTAGTAAGACCACATTGGGCGTCGATCCTTTTGAGATGTCAGGGTGACAAACAAGTTGGATCATATGGTATCTCTTGATGCATTTCGAACTGCATCTTGACACGGTCGTTGTGGTGCATCTCCATAATGTTGAACCGTATGATTACATATTTTGCAGTCCAAACTGCTGCATCCTCAGGGTTTGGTTCATGGTCCAAATTCAAATATGGTCTCCAAATAAATTATGGATAAAATTAAATCAGAATAATGAAAACGTAAAAAATAAATAATTTAAAAGTAAGAAAGTTCAAAGGTACCACGTACATCATCTGGGTCAATGTGATCCAATAGGTTACGATATAGAGAGACATTGAATCTTGGATTCTTGCCATAATCCATACACGTTACGCAGTACTTAAAGGAATTGAAAAATAATTTATTTTATACATATATTTGGCGAAAGGATGAATAATAAATTATTTAAGTTCTTGACTTACTTTGTTGCGTATGGGAAAATAAATGCATTGTTGTTGACGGGGTTTAGGGACTCTATTCTCCACCTACCCCAGGCTTAGAGTAAGAAAGCGTATCCATAAAAAGTACATTTGTCTTTTGTTGTGTTTTTACATAAATAACTGTATAGATGGGCTAAAACAGCAGAACCCCGATTATACTTTCTTGTTTTTTCAAAGTTTCTAAGTATTGTACCCCAAAATTTGCCCTCTCATTTCTCAAGAAAATCTCTCATAAGATCTCTATTGATTCAAGGCTGCACAAGATTTGATCAGCTCAAGACACCTCCTTAAACACTGATGACTCAAATTAGGGTTTGAGTTTGCACAAGAACAAATGGACTTTTAATGTCCCATATGAATTTCATGTATCATTTTGGACCCTCAAGATTGCTCATGTCAAGTTTCAAGTCTTGGATCACATTTTTGCTCAGTCAATTGATCAGATGACCTAAAATCAACTATATTGGGGAAAAAGTCAATCATGGTAAATTTACAGTTAAACTTCATAATTCTGGGTCCATATCAACATTATAAACTCATATATGTCATTTTATCAAGTTTATATCACAGTTCCTCAAGAAATTTGATCAGATCATCAAAAGAGCAAAATGGTCAAAATTAGGGTTTTGACTGGGAAGGTTCAATTTTTGACTTTTGACCTAATCAATGACTTATTGGTTTAAGACATGATCTCAAGGATTCAAATACTTAATTTTTACCTAATGGCATGGCTCAAAACATCTCTCAAGATTAATTGATTGACAGATCAATTCTAGTCAACTGATGAAAAGTCAATTGTACACTGAAAAGTTAAACTTTAACTTTTTGGTCAAAATCAAGTTTCAAAAATCATATTTCATCAAGACATGTCAAAATATGAAACTTGTTCATCAAGAAATCAAAAAGTCAAGATTTCATTTTGGAAAGTCAAAATTTCTAAACTTAGAATTTTTCTAAGTGTTGAAAATTTATGTTTTTTTCATAACTTTATGCCAAATTTCCACCATGATGCAAGATGATTCAAAGGAAACTTCCAACATGAAAGTTGTAGATCTCAATGAGATCTAAAACATTGTAGAACATAACTTCTTTTTCTAGAAATGCTTGGATTTCAAGTTGTGATTTTGTGAAGACATGTTCATAAAACTTGAAGACTTGGTGAAATTTTGCCCTAGTTTAGGCAGGATTTTGACCTAACTTCATGGCAATTTTTCACCTAGTTCCAATTTGAATTTTCAAAAATGTCAAACATGAAAGTTGTATAGGATGTTACAAGCTTTCCAAAATGTCCAAGAACTCATTGAGATCATACTTGGGTTAGGAGAATCGAAGGCAAGAAGTTAGAGTTTCATTCTTGAATTACAAGCCATTTCTTGATGAACACATAATCCAATCTCAATGTTAGGCTGCATAATCTTGCTTTGCAGGCCTTCTAACTTGTGTATTTATCCATCATTAATGGATTACACAAACTTTTTAGCTATAACCCAAGTGGTTTAATCAAGTGGATTAACGTTCAAAGACAGAAAACAATATCGCACGAAGGGGTAAGGGAATTTAGCTTTTCCTTTTTATTATTCTTATTTTTGTTTGTGGTTTTGCTGGGAGTCGCGATAGAGGGGATTGGGTTTAGGGTTGCCATGCCTCTGTAATAGATCCTAGATCTAAGGTTTGGTGAAGAGGAAGAGGGGTCGTTCGCGAGCAGAGGAATGAGGAAAAGGTTACTATAAAATGAAATAGAGTAAAATAATGTGAAGATGAAATGTAAAACAAGGATTTATATGCTCGGTAATCGTGTATACGCGCCTTCACCGTAATAACCATACACCTTCCAGTATATCTATTAGATCTGTATCGGACGGCCGTGAGGTCAAGTCCATCATATACTCTATGCGCCTTCCCATACGTGATCATTCAGGCTTTCCATAAAAACATTATTTGGGTCGAGCCCAATTCATTGCTACGCCCCTTTTTGGCCTTAATTACTAAACATAACAATAAGGCACACACCCCTGTCCAGATTTTGTTTTGGGCTTAACACCAGTTAATTTTTCACACACCCTTACTTTACTACGCAACCAAACTTGCACCCCCCTGAATCTATTTAATTTTATTTATTTATTTTGATATAATTTAATTATCATTTCTATTTTATAAAATATATATGTTATTTAATTGTAATTATTATTATTATTATGATCAAATAATAATTTTTTATTTATTATTATTATTAATTTTTATATTAATTATTATTACATGATGCTATAATTATTCAATTTTGACTATTATAATTATCATTTTTATTGTAATTCTTTTTTATAATTATGTTTATTTCTTATATTATTATATTATCAGATAATTTATTTTTATATTAAAATCACATATATTATTTTTATATTATCTGTAGTAAAATACTTTCTAAGCATGCATTAATCAAGACATTTTGCAATTGATACAGTAAAAAACACAAACGAATATCAAACTATTTTTCGTAATAAACTAAGCTAATTAACAATTCCTTTTTGCAAATGGGTTTCGAACTAATTTTGGCTTGTTGCGTATTCAGTCAAAAATTTTGCAATCACTACTCTCGACCGAGTGCGAAGTGATTCAAAATATGTTCGTAAACCCCTAAAAAACACCAACTCATACGAACTACGAATTGGGACTTTGATTCCTCATAGGAGGATACGTAGGCATACGATCTAAAATCGTGGCGAGTCTTGCTAATTAAAACTTAAAAGCCTATTTACCATAAACCTAGAGTTTAATATCCTTGTGAACAAGGTGGATGAAAGGTGTCTAACACCTTCCTTTCGTCTAATCGAGTCCATAACCTAGAATCTCTATCTGCGAGTTAGTGTTTCCTATTAGATGCCCCTCCTTAGGATAAAAACTAACAGTGGCGACTCTTGATTTAAAAAGTGGTCGCAACAATAACGATCAAATGCGAAGGAATAAAAAGGGTCGTTCCAAAAGCAAGCGTATCACAACTGAAATGAACTCTCTTGACAAACTAGAAAGAAAGTGTGATTTGTCGTCAGGTCAGACACAATCAAAAAAAATTGTCCAACTCGGGCTATAAGCTCCACAACATAAAAATTGTATGGAAACCATCTGTTGTTTTTAAGTTTTAAACGTAACTTTTTTTCATTAAGAGCATTTGTTACAACAAAGCATACACAAACAACAAATAAAAACACGATAAAATGTCTACGAAATTACAATCGTCAAAACAATTTCATCTGAGTCATGCATCATCACCATTACGTCTCTGTCTGTTTTGACTTCCTCCGACTAAAATTAAGTTTTTCCAGTTGCAAGTGAGGTGGTTGTTCTTTTTCTCTGGATCCTTCTAATTTATTCCTCAGTCTCGATGTCTCCCTTTAGCCATCGCATCAAATCTTCTTTTCAGACGCTCCATGGAGTGAATGTGTCAAAATTTCATTTTCATCAGAGGTTTGGAGGCTGAGAAAATAACATATTCATCTCTGGTGAAAATCATGGGAGATGTCATGACGCAAATAACAGAGAAAAAATAAGAAGAGGGTGTGAGAAAGTATGAAGAATGATGGAGAAATAAGTGTTTTATTTATAGAAAACACAATTGCACGTAGTAGTTATCTCATATGGTGTCTCCTCCTCTTTTTATAGTGCATGTGTCATCTCAGTTGACTAAAATAAAGTGCATGCGTCAAGTGAACTGGCGCCTAAGGCAAAAAGGTGAGCGACATCTCACTTGACGCTTCCATTATAGAGTTTTCTAAAATATGACTATTTGCATATTTTTCTTCAAAACATGGTTATTTATGTTTTTCTTTCAATATTTAGTTATTGCTAAAAAAAATCATGATTTGATAATTATTTGTAAATAAAAAATTAAAATAAAATGATTGCACTCAAATATTAATGACTTTTATTTTTATTTTTATTTTTATTAAACAAATTTTTTTGACACGAAGAAATTGCATGCAATAATCTTTAAAAAAATTCATTAATGCAATCTTTAACATATGAATATAGACATCTTGAAAATGACTCCAACACTATTATATTGATAATAATTTAAAATAATAAATTAATTAAACTTTATTACAACACTCTATTATATTGATAATAATTTAAAATAATAAATTAATTAAACTTTATTATAATTATTTATGTAAGTATTCAACATCGGACATACATACTTTTTTTTTTCCAAAAATGTCGATGAATATAGGATATTGGGAGACATAGATTGGAATAGGATGGAGGACCATGATTATGCAAGGCCAATGATAATTGTTTTGTTTTCCAACATGTTAAACATGCTTTCAATAAATCAACTTTGATTAGTAAAGAAACTCACTTTGGTTCTCATATTGCTATGCAACATTTATTTAGCAATACAATGTTTTCTAGAATATTTCAACCATATTTTTCCGACATCTCATAAAAAGTCTCATTTATATTTTTTTTTCTCAAAATAATTATTTTTTTATAATTCTAATGCAATATTTATTATTATTTTTCAATTACTATATCTCTATTTATTAACTAATTAATGAGAGTATTTTAATAAATGGCGATTTTATCATTAAAATTAAAATATTCAATCATTTTCATAAGAGCTGTATATTACTTAAATAGAACACTTTTTATGAGACGAGAGAAAAAAAACATGTTCAATAGGGAAAACTACTTTGGTAACTATGGACTTTAGTCTACTAACCATTATTTTTGTAATGAACATTACAAAGCGAAATGGGTTTAAATTGCTTCGCAAATTCAGGCAAGTTAATTTTAAGAAGGCAAACATATGACCAATTCATTTCTTTAATTTCATCAAGGTTGTTCCAGGTGGATTTGAAAAAGAAATCAAATATGCTACTAGCCGTGAATTTCCAACCCTTCTGATAAAACCCTACTGAAAAATAACTACTTCTATTTCCACTCATTTTGAACAGATTTTGAACAAATACTGGCATACAATTTGACTTGTTTTCAAAAAAGAGCTTGTTTTGTATTGAAAGCGTTCAAATTTTAAAACTAAAAAATTTAAGAATATATTTAAAATTTCACCAAGATCAAGATGTGTGCAAGTCAGGGGTGTATTGAAGAATTCCATGAAGAATGAATGTGACTTTGTTTGATCTAGTGTGGGTAATGACTTGTATAATCACATAAGCAAATCTAATCTAGTAATGGTTAATAAGAGTAATAAATATCTGTCACAATGACAATAACAGGTTTTATGTTTGGGTACAATTTTTTCCATATCTGCTCAAGAGCTTGAACTACACTCATCTCCTATAAACTCATCACTGCTTAACATTCACTACACTCCTGTTACGACTGATTCTCTTGAGACTAGAGAAAATATTAAATACGATAATTAGTCCATCATATCAAGCTCAAAATTAAACTTTTCATCTACATTTTTTTCAGAACTAGCAGTTTAACCAGCGAGCTCTTCCATTAAACCCTGCGGAGAGAGAATGAAATAGTTAGGTAAAATTTTAGACTATCTTGGATTACAAATTATAAGCCAGTACAAAAAAATTTACCCGTGAGATATATTTCTCTGCATCAGTTCGCTTCAGAAAGTGCATGGAATGTCGGGCAAAATTGGGATTCTTATTATCACTAAGTACAATGCCTTCTCTTATGTCTTCAAGGACCCTTACTTGAATGTATGGATCTTTTGGTGGTACCATATCCTATCAAAAGCAGGTTTCATGAATGATAATACAGTAGTTTATTGTTTTTTACAAGTTCATTTTGTAACCAGAAACTGCAAAATAATAGTGAACAAGATTTGGTGTGAAAAATCATGGTTGATGATGTTTAGTTCAATAGTTAATTCTGACTTCGAATGTATGTTTTGCTGTAAAACTGGATGGAAAAGTATATTTGCTGTAAACACGTGCATCAGCACAAAAAATCACATGATGGTTCCATCTGTATAACTAGACACATAAAAATGTTTCTGACATGGATGCTTAACATTCATCAGTTGCATTAACATCAATAGAATTATTCAACTACCTAGAACAAAAGGTTGAGATGCATACATGCGGTTTCCTTAAAAAATCATAAGCGTCTAAAACTAAATTTACTAAGGTTTGATTACAGATAAAAGATCATGAAAATGTAAATCAATAGACGTATTTGTAACATAAATAGCTACCTTTCTTTTTTGTGAAGGTATGCATGTGCATGTGTGTAAAAGAGAAGAGGGAGGGAGATGAGAGGTTACCACTGTCAAATCGACCAGTGCTTTTGACATATAATCTCTCAATGCTGCAGAATGCTTCTTGAAATACTCTTCCTCCCAGTGATTAAGCTTCTCTTCAATTTCTTTAGGAATCACAGGCCCTATCTTCCATAACAAGTTCCGTATAGTTTCTGTTCGGTTATAGCTGAATGGATATATGTTCAAAATCAAAGCACAAAAACAAAGGAACTCCACATGATGGTGGTTTGAAAGCGATACTTACACATAGGCTGTTAGACAACGTTTATTTCGGACAATAGAAAATAGATGGATGAGGGCTCCATAGTGGTCAGCATTTCTAGCTGTTTGGACATCCAAACCTTCTTCCTGCATCTTCCTGTTTACACAACACAAAAACCATGTCATGTCTGTATGAAAAAACATACCGTGGAAAGGGCTTCGTGAGTAAAATATGCCAGACACTGCATTTCCTCACATTTAATTTAGCAATATGGCTCAACCAACACAGGCACACACATTCAAAAAAACTCATGCCCGCGTGAGGTGTCATACTCCAACAAGAAGAAAAGGGACACATCTGGAAAAAGAGAATCAGGAAATTGTCTTAACCATTACCTTATCAAGGACTGAAGCTCATGGTGATGTTGGCTGCATTCTGAAATTACTTGGTCAAACAAGTCATTCTACAAGGGCATTGGAAAAAAGTACCAAGTCAAAGCAGGCACATATTCACAACAATAAAAAGATTGATTAATGAGAAAAAGTTCTGCAGTAGATAAATATTAAATAGTGAGTGTCTAACTGAAAAATGAAGAGTTGGGCTTACATTAAAGGGTGTGAGCTGGTCTTTTTCTCCACTTGCAAATTCCTTCACGAGTTGGCACGCTTTTCTCCCATACATATTGAGTACTTTCCCTGGATTACGACAACAATTTCAGAACTACACAAAGCAATAGCTCACTAAAAAAGAAAATTGGATCTGCTAACATAAATTAGAAAAATGAAGAAAGGTTTCAAATTGGCAGGCTCTCTTCCTCAGAAATTTAAATCAAAAGTTGAAAATGGAATTCAATAAGCATTTAGGGTTTCGCAAACGGCACTGTAAAAAGGAATGTCCTCTAAAGTCTAGCAACAGCACTTAATCTGCCACAAACACAGAGAAATTAGGGATTAGGGTTGGAAGCTCTCTGAAGGAAGAAGGATGGAGCATTAAAACTGTCTCCGGCAGCTGATAACAAACTCCGTCAGAGTTTCCGGCGAGGTTTGCTTATAACAATCGGTTGAATTCAATACAACTCAAAATTTATAAAATCTTTTGGAAAAAAAAAAACACTTAAAATGAAACCGAAGTCGTTACCTTAATCCTTGACGAAGCGTGAAATTTGAGATCTGTGAAAGTGCATGAAGGAGTTTGAGTTATGAAGAAACAGAGGAACGAAAACGCGAGAGTATGAGAGTAGAGCGAATGGAAGGGAAGAAATAAGAATAAAGGAGGGAAACTATCCCCAAAATTTTCAACAAAAGGAGGGAAAATCTCTCTTACGATTTTGCCCTTTAATTTCATTAAAAAAATAATTCAATCACAAAAACAAATTGTATTAGATAAGGGAAATTGCTCAATAAATTAATTATATGTTTCGATGAGATGATTGATATTTTTTAAAGAATTATGCAATTTAATAGAAATTCATTTATTTTTAAATTATTTTGTGTGGATAGAGTATTGAAATTATTTATGGTTAACTTTTTGGAGTTATTTTTATAAAATTAAAATTTTTGGGTAAATTTAAAATTTGAAAAATAGAGATTAATTTGTAGTTTATAAAAAATATTTGACTAGTTTGTAAAGTTTGAAAATTATTAAGAACCAATTTACAATTTTGAGAATTTGATGGTCAATTTTAAAAAAATTGGAAAATGTGAGGACCTACTAAAAAAATTAAAATAATAATTATTATTATTATTTTTATTATTATTATTAATTTAACATTCACATTCTATAAGTGAGCGAGAGACTAATTGTCTAGAAATAAGAAAGTTTTATGAAAATAGAAGATAGGATGATTCCAAAGTTCTTGGAACATTGTTCACATAGATCATTATCCTTCGTAATCCTTGCAATGGATACCTCTCAAGCTCGTGACATGTTCCAATAAACTAAGTATATCACCCTGACTGCAAAGGCGTCCTTGACAACCAAAATAAACAATTCCTTTGTGGAAACTTTTGGCAATGTGTGCAATACTCCAACAAGTTAACTTATTGTCCCTTGTGTTAAATGTGATAGGCTTTTCATCTCTATTCTTGAGGATGAGTACCTGTTAGGTCTGGACTCTTGCAAACACAGACTCCATAGAAGAATCATGTGGTCCAAAGGTTATTCCCTTCTTACAGTTTCAAGTTTACGTAGTAAATTAGCAACATTATGGAACTCCATTGAGAAATGGGGTATCACCTCCCTTAGGAAATGATTCTTTGAGTTTTGTATCTCAAGTTTATAAGATGTCTGCAATGTTAAGGCAATGACTTATTGGAACTTAAATACGAGAGTGGTAAAGTTATTCCATTGAACAAGAGACTTTATACCAAACAATATCAATCAAACCTCCGCTCAAGTTTAGAGGCCCTGAATCGTATTTGCCAATTTTAACAACATTTACACACCAATATGTATAAATTCCGCTTCAAATAGGTCACCATTTGATCAGGATTTTGAAAACTATGTGAGAGTCATATTCGATGTTTGTTTTTCTATTGTACCCAATCAGATTCTCTTTCTCCAAACCAGGTGTTAATGAAGGAAGAAATACATTATTGGTTTCATGGACTTAGTTACGTGGAAGGGTTTGTCCCTAGTGTGGTGCCCCTGTCGAGATGAGGAAAAGGCATATTGATATTTTCTCTATCTTGAGTGTAGTTAATGTTGAGGAGAGAAAAAATATTTTTGGTGATAACTGAGTGTTCGTGTTTTTTTGTACTTGTGCAATTGCATTTTGAAACAACATAGAAAATAAGTAAGTTGAACATATTCTACTACCTTGCATATTCCCAAGGTATTCGATATATGGTGAATATTGTTACTACATAATTTGCTCCCTCTCTTTTGGTGGTTGCCACTCTAGCTCCGGCCCTTTTCTTACCTCGACTGTAAAAGCTTCAACTTTTGTGCTCTAGGTGGATCATCTAGTGAACGCAACAACCACTTTCATGGTGGAGGAATAAACTTCGCCTTTGGCTCCGACCAAGAGGGCTCAAGATGAGGAACAATTATCTCCTCGGAGTGAGTATTCTCCAAAATGGGCTTGGGTCACTGAGAAATATGCTTTTAGAGAGGCGACTTCTTTCATAAAGATACTGAATATTTTCTCTTCCCAACTCCCATGCACTCTTGAGAAGGCTGTTACTATCGTCCCAATGTCTGACATATCCTTCGTCCAGAATCTTCCTAAGGGGGATAAGATGGAAATGGCTCCAGAGCTTTCCTACAACATGTTCAAAGTTGCTTCTATTTTTTCTCTTGTCTATGTTGGACCGATTGATGTATTGGCCCCGGGTAGTATATTCAAGGAGATGGATACTTGGAAAGAGAAGGTTATAGTTATGGAGTTGAAGTGTACCAACTTTTAGAAAGAGCCCCTTGTGGTGTATGTGGAATTTAATGTTGCTAACTCTTTATAAGAGGCAATGTAAGTATATGGCTCCCCTTCTACTCTAACGAATCGTGTGACTGAGTTGGAGGCTTCTCTTTGAGATCTAGATATGTGATACAATTTTGCTTCTGATTCCATTAAAGAAAAGACTCGACAAGTAGAAAAGTATCGGAAAGATGTAGAAACCTTAAAAGCTCTCTAGGAATAGGTGGTCGGCCTAATAGGGGCACTCAATGGTGCTTTCCGGCAAACTATGTGATATGTGCTCGAAATCTATAAGCAGGTGGTGGAGTAGGCGGGGAAGTTCTGCCTGAATGCTATGATTTATGCTGAGGCATTAAATTTGTTTAAGTTTGCTCCCTGGGTGATCTAGGTACCTCAACTTCAAATGCTTTGGCTTGATTTTCTTTTTGCTTGTGCTGCTCATTTATTGCAATGTTTCCCCGAATTTTGTGCCTTAGGTGTAATAATTTATTATATTTGATGAAATAGTTCACCTTGATGATTCAAGTGTTGTTAGCTTCAAAGCTTTGTGCTTGATTTTGCTTTTATCAATATCATTGTTTACAATTCGTTGTAACTCTTAGACTAGTCTTTCTACTTTGAATGATCTTTATTTACTTTAGAGTTTAAGTTGGACCACCGACATTTAATGGAAATGGTGAGATATTTGTTTTGGGCAGGAGAGTCATTGCTACTTTTGTTTACGAAAGAAACAACACATTTGATTGTCGTGATATGGCTAAAGTGCCTTTGGAATTTCTTTCTTTTTGCAACTTATTGCGTAGAATAATGTATGCTTCCATTATTGGTTGCTATACTTGTTTGTTGTATTAAGTGTTTTTTATAGTAGCGTATTGATTTGTATGTTGTGTTTGGTGAATTGCTTGCATTCTCTAGGACGAGGCCTGGGATTTGTGACGTTGAAGTTATGCAATAATATTTTTTTAATGTGCTCTGTGTTGCAAAAGAGTGTTCCCTGACCAAGGGTGGGATCCTTATCCCTTCTCTCGAGGCTTGCCTCTGAACAAGGTGGGCGTCTTCAGGCTCCACCACCTATGCCCTTAGGCTGGCTAGATCCGAGGGGGTGCGCCAGCTAAGTAGAAGTGTGTTTAATAAGGCTCGGATGCAAGTTGTCTATTTGAGCCGTATCAAATTTGCAAAAGTGTGTTTAGTCTGTATCAGATACACAATTAGGGCATGAAATGTGTTTTAAGTCGTATCAGAGCTACATAACCCTAGATTTGGATCTGAAACCCTTTTATTTTGCTATTTTGTAGATTTTTGAGAGAATAATAAATCTGGACCCACAAAGGATCATGGTTAATAGGTTCACCAGTCGAATCGGCTATGGTAGGCCTCTAATTTTTCTTCTGTGCACTCCTTGATTATGAGATCTGAGAAGGCTCATCTAAGTATTCTTGAATCATTTGACATTCATTTAATCACAATTCCTTCTATTATCACACATTCTATTTTAATTCTTAAATTTCAAGTTTCATTTTTAAATGCATATAATATTCAATATTATCAAAAAAATTGGACAAAGTTCAATATGATTAATATTTAAATTCATATAATTTGGAGATATATGTGCTTTTTTTCTCACTCAAATATATATGATTGTGACTCCTAAACTTTTTTTATGGAGACTTCTAAACTTAAACTAGTAAAGGACCCGTGCGTTTGCACGAGGCGTGCAATGTTGTATATGCTATGAAAAATATAACATGTAATTTAGATATTGATGAAACTTAAATTGCATTAGGATTGAAACAAAAACAATTCACCTTCTAATACGAAAACTACTGATAAAAGCATAAGACAGTTTATCTTAAAACAAACATAAAGTGCACTTGTATGGCTATAAAACACTCAAAGTTCATTAAATTAAAGTGCATGTCTATTTTGCAGATACATATATTAGAATACATTTAGTACATTTCAATGGATACATTTCAATGGATATTTCAAGAAGTTGTTTTGGTAAATAGCAAGATGAGATTAATATGGTAGATCTGGAAACTTACAAAGGGTATAGATATGTGATCCATAGAGCCGAAAGACATGATTATGAGAAACATATTGGGCATGGATGGTACCAATTTGCAAAAGAAAAAAATCTTAAATCTGGAGATGTGCTAGTTTTGTCAATGATTTCGCATGCAAATGTCATGTATGTAATTATTCTAGAAGGTCCATCTTCTCGTAAATAAATGTGATAATCTAGTTTGGTTGAAACAACTTTTTGATTTGATGTAATATTAGTGAAACTGAAGTATGTTGTTATGTCTGGTAAACTGGTTATGTATTTTGTTGTTACATCATGTAAGCTGATGTTTTCTACTAATGACAGTTATTGAGACTTCCATATGTATAATTTCAAGTTGCGGTATTGAAGTATGTTTGTTCTCATCATATTGGTAAAAGAATTTCAGGTGAATCAAGACTCCGAGTTGTAATTATAGTGCAGAATGTTCAACATATGTTTTAAATTAGATAAACGACGATGAACGTAAAAAGAGTAATATACTCAGCAATGTTTAGACTTAATGAATAATCTGGATATATCAAAACAGTAAAATCATAACTTGTGACAAATCCTTTCCAAGTGATTTAATCGTAGATACATGAGTAATAAGATTAATTAAAAATGAAACTGATGATTAATATATACTCTACAGATTTTCAAAAACCTCTTTGAAAACAACATTTGTTGTAGTCGACAACGATTGGTTATATTTGACATGGACTAATATCCTAAGATCTTTTTTGCTTTTTACTCTTTAAACTGCAACATACAATTGACCGTGGCTGAAGACGCTTTTGGGAAAATAGATACTGACATGATCCAATTACTAACCTTGAGACTTGTTAATCGTCATAAGATAACATACAGTTATAGGAAATTGCCTTCTAGTCATATCGAAAGACCATGGGGACTGAGTAGGAGTAATATCCATTATTGCGATATAGACGACACCTCTGATGTTTTTGCCTGAAATAATTTTTGCTTCGATAGCGTGATATGTCAGTCTTGTAACAATGAGTTGTGTTCCATTGCACAAACCTTCTGATTGATCAATATTTTTAAGAAGCATTATGGGAGTACCAATCTTCAATGTAATATTGTGATTGGGGAGACCAGAAGTTTTGAGTGTATTCAAAAATTCAGGAGTTAAAACATCGAAAGATTCATTGTCGTCACCATCAAGAGTATTAGCAGAATCAGATGATAAATATTCCTTTTGTTCTCTTGAAATTTGTTGGATGTTTGTTTATAAGTCGCATACTAAATAATGACAAATAGGTAAAAATATTTAAACTTACTGTATGGTAATTACCTGGAAGAAATTCTAATACATACTGGTTTGTTAGATCAACAGTCTCAATGGTTCCAGCCAATATTTCTCTTGATTGCAAGAATGTTTAATCGTTGTAATTAACAACAAAATTTGGATATGTGTTTTGAAATATTGCTTCAAGTGGATCAGTAAAATATGAGATCAATAATTCGAGAGGAATATCAATCTCTGCATAACCATCATTAGGTTTCGCTAACTTTCCATCCCCGAGTTTCAATATCCAGTTCAAAAACTGTTGCAACTCATAAGGACTTGTGTTCATCCCTGTGATCGGAGGATCTGGAACTGACTGTTTTAAAGCTGGTTCGCGAAATGTCGCGGAAGCAAGAGTCGCCACCGTCTTTTATTTTCTCCAAATGGAAAGGACAAAAGCACAGAAAAATTCCTTAAAGAGATTGCTCTCGGTTCGGGAGGTAGATTATAGAAAGGGAAGGTGTTAGCACCCTTTCTATCCATGGTTATCCATGGGCTCTTAGATACTTGCTCAATGTGTTTTCAAAATTGTTTGTTTGCTTTTCAATGTGGGTTTTAAAAAGTTTCTTTGAAAAATTTCAGTTCGACTCGTACGTCAGAGTGTTTGAAAAATTTGCTTCGAAAGCTTTTGAAAAGTGTTGGTGTGAAAAGATTTCAGTTTGTTTTGAAGAGAGCAAGTATCCATGAGTCGTCTACCTACCCTAAGGAATTCGTCTGTGTAAATGTCATTTAAAGTAGTGCCATCCCACCATTGAGAGGTAGGTAGCACCACCGTCGGAGGTGTTCGGGTCAATTCGAGGTTCGGGACATGGTGATCACCAGAGCAATGGGAAGACACCTTAGAAGCTACCCTCATGCCAGGTTCCCGGATCATGAGGACTTACTAAGACATCCTCTACTCGACGATCACCTTTCGAGGCAACAATGAGGCGTACCCTAGGGGTGATGTGTGCGAATTGTGTGTCGTTTTCATTTGTATTTGTCTTGTCATGTTCATTGTGATCTACGCTTGATTTTATTTTATTTTATCCATTCATTCTTGCATGCTTTGTTTAACAGTTAAAAGTTGCGAGGAAAAGTAAATCTAAAGCTATTACAAATGGCGCGGGTCCACATCGCCAAAATTAAACCGGACCCGATTTAACGGAAAGTAAATAAAGCGAATAAATAACGAAATTGAAAAGTGCGAGAAGTTTAAATTACACGGCTTTGGGAGAATTACATAATTATTTAAGCAATAAAATAAATACGCAAATTAAACAATTAAAAATATGGCCGTTGGACCCTTTTGCAAAATTAAAATTAACAATGAATTAAAATTAAGAATTAAATGTTTTTGGTATTTTTAGTGTTTTTAGGAATTAATGGGAAAAAGAGAATTAATCAAAATTAAAATTAAATGTAAACCCTAATTCTAATGGTTTTTAGATTTATTATGAAAAACATTGAATTTTTAACTAATTTAAACCTAAGTTAATTTACATGCATTTTTAATTTATGAAAATAAGTAAAATAAATAGTATTATTGTAAAAAAGGGAAATTAAGAGGAATAAAATTAACAATTAAACCTAAATTCTATATTTTTGGATTTTTAGTTATTAAAAAGAATTAAAATTAAAACCTATTTAATACTAAATT